TCGAGCCATGAACGTCGAGATCCATCATGGCTCCCTGCAGCGTTCTGTCCTTCCTCGTCCTCGTCACCTGCTGCTGCTCCTGGGTGGTGGTGCATTCTCCCTGCTTAGCCGTCATGGCGAGCCTCCTGGATGGAGCTCGCACACCTCCCCAATTTCAGCATCATTGATTCTGTACCATCCTGATACCTGACCTTCAGGGGGTGCCAGTGGTGGCCTTCATCGTTGCGCTCCGCTGACGCGAGCTATGTCCCGACCGGACGACGGGAACATCACACCCAGCTACCGTCAACGACTAGGGCCGGCGCTAGTGGGGCCTCCACTGCTCCAGGGACATCTAGGCACAGCCTGACGCATCACTGCATGTGAAAAAACAGAGAAATGGCACTGTCCAAGTTGTGTTCTTTGCCATTTCTATACCAAATCACTTTGGTATAAACCCAAGTTCAAATTAAAAACATAGAGCAGTTTAAAATTTGTAAAAACACCATGTGTGTCTCTGATGACAGCAGATGGATAGGATTGATGGGCACAGACGACGACCATCGGTGCACTCGCAGCCGTGTTTGGACTACAGCGACGACTGAATCAGACCTTCCCCCGGCATCAGCAATCTTCCTTCTCTTCATGTTCATCAACGCACGCCGCCGTCCACTTGTGACTCTCCACCCGCTATTGTTAAAGACAAACAGCATTGTACATGAGAAGTTTTGTGTATTAATGCCCATGGGAAACTTGCTTATGAGAATTGACCCCAATTCTGATTGATTTTGCAGACCTTGGATTCAAGAGAAAAATGTGTATAAAAAGGGGTGATTTCGAAAGTTCAAGTGTAATGAACAACGAAGTTCAAACCAAAAAAATGTAAACAAAAAAAGCATGGAATTCAAAGAATAAAAACTATGGAGTTTCATAAAAAAATAGCATGGGAAGTTCATGTTTCAGAAATTCCAAAGTTCATGTGTAGTACATACAGAAGAAAAATCATCAAATGAAAAAAAAGACCGCCGAGGCCATTTCACTAAAAAGGAAAAAATGCATAAAAATGTCACGACAAAATTCTATAAGAAGTTCAAATTTAAAAACCAAAGCAGGTCGAGTTTTTAATATCTAGAAGTCAAATTTGGAAGGTCGAAAATTTGAGCAAGAAGTTCAAATAAAAAGGTACTTCAAAAATCTTTATAACGAATTTTCCTCGTTTATAAAAAAATCAGAGAAGTCCAAATTAAAAAAGACGAGCATTTCAAAAATCAAAGAAGTCCAAATTAAAAAAGAGGAGCATTTCAAAAAATTAGAGAAGTCCAAATTAAACATAGGATTTACCTGTTCAAAAAATAAAAAACACAACATCATCTTTTGCACTTTTATAAACAACTCATAAACGAAAAAAATGGTTGCTAGAAGTTCAAGTGCTCGGCGAGGAAAAGTTGAAAAATTCTTCTGAGAGAGGTTCACCGTGTATTTAGATGTCCAAAATACATAAAAAAATATGTTATTTTTTGTGTTTTAAAATAATTCTCTCAAACCAGAGAGAAGTTCAAAGTGATAACAACCGTAAGTTCACGTACTACATGGTGTGTATTTCATATAAGAAAAAATTCAAAAAAAAGTGAAACAGGGTGAGTTCAAACAGACATGCCCTAGAAGTTCAATTACTTCACATAGTGCAAAAAACACCACATAAAATTAGCACGTCAAAAACAAAGTGAAGTTCGAACAGACACATCCTAGAAGTTCAACTACTTCACGCAGAGCAAAAAACAACACGTTAAAAACAGTGTGAAGTTCGAACAGACATGCATGAGAAGTTCAACTACTTCACGCAGTGTATTTCCATTCGCGATGAAGGCAGAAATCATGATCTCGTCATTTTCTAATTTACTTCAAAACAGTAGGGAATCATTTGTGTAAGTTCAAGTCCTTCGTCGGAGAAAGTTCAAAAAAATACTGTGAGAGAGATTTGTACAAAAGGAATATCATTTGTGTGACATTGACGAATGTATGAGAAAATTACAAAACGAAAATACGTCACGGAAGTTCAACGTGAAAACAGCTGGAAGTTCAACTACTACCCAGAATGAATTTCACATGAAAAACTTTTAAAACCGTTTCGAGTATGAAAAAGTAATCAACACGGGAAAGTTGCGTGTCTATAGCAGCTTTCCATCGGTATATCACTTGCTCAATTCCGGTGAGTGTTTCGGTGCGTGGATGGAGAGCCACGGGCAAAAAAAGCACGTGAGAAACAAAGTGAAGTTCAAGGTTTCATACCGAGAAGATCAGGTACTTCACGCGATGCATTTTTCACGAATCTGTTTCGCGATAAAGGCAAAACGAATGATCTCATCATTTTCAAAATTACTTGAAAACGACACGGAATCACAAAAAACCATCAACATGAAAAAGTTTCGCATTTTCCTTAGCTTTTCAAGGGTATATTATTTGCCCCATTCCGATAAAGTTTGTGGAAAATACAACGAAAATATGTTTTTAGCCATTTTGAAAACTGACATAAAACAGTAAGGAATTGGGAGAAATAATATATACCAAAAAGTTCCGCATTTCCTCAAGCTTTCCAACGCCATATCATTTGTTGCATTCGGACATAGGGTTAAAAAATAGATCGCAAATACGAACTCTGTGAAACTTGTACCGTTTTCTAAATCACTTTTAAACCGTTCAAAATTAGAAAAAACTTTCTACATGAAAAAGTAGTGCATTTTCATAAGCTTTCCAACGCCATATCATGTGCCTCAATTGGTTTAGCCATTTAGAAATGACATCGAAAATACGAACTCGGCTGTTCGGTTTCTGAAATTTTACGATTTTCTAAATTACTCTTTAACCATAGGGAATTAGAAAAAAAAACTTTCGACATGTGGAAGGAGCGATTTTGCAGCAGCTTTCCAGAGCCATATTAATTGCCTCATTCCGATAAACGGTTTAGAAATGCGATCAAAATTATGATTCACGTTTTTTCTGTGAAGAAAAAACGGTTTTCAAAACTGCTCTTAAACCACTTACATTTTGCGAAAAATTTAACTTGGTCACGATACTCGTGTCCATAGCTTTCCAACATTATATAGCAAGCCCTATTTGGGCAATGTTGCGGGAAGTTCAACCTAGTTCACATGGAAGTTCTGGTCGAACAATTCAGACAGTAAAATCGCAAAAAACGCGAGTTCTTCATGACCCGAGTGCAAAATCTGCCTATGAGCGAGATTCCTATCTAAAACGAGTATTTAGTTGCTAAAAATCGTTTGAAGATTACACTTACATCACATGGAACACGACTAACCAGAAAAACTCGCGGTAGAAGGCACGGTTGCGAAGATAGCTCGAAGGTCCGGTTCGTACATAGAGAAGTTTAGGCGCGTTACTCAGGCAGTTCAGGTTGTGATCATCCCGTGATCAGAATAGTGTTCATGTGTGTGTGTGTATATATGTGTGTGTGTGTGTGTGTGTGTATGTGTGTGTGTGTGTGTGAATAATTAATGGTGTTGGTTGTGAGACATTG